AAGGAACAATGTATCGCTCAGTTGCTCTGTGCTCTTGCAGAATGTTTACAATGGCTAAAACTTCAACTTGCCCAAACTAATGTTCACCTTAGTGTCAAACTGACTTCAACTGCATCTCTTGATCAAGGGAGAAAATGCTTGGGGCTCATAACTTCAGGCTCATACCCAATGAGTAGTTCCTTGCACAAAATGCATATTTCAACAACAACTACAAAAACAACTATCATTATATAGTTTTTTTTACACTGTTGTCTCTGCCAGTCTGATTTTCATTGCTATTCTAAATCAAACAACAATAAAACAATACAGGCTGTCATTACTATGGAATTTATCCATACATTAGCTAATCTCAGAAGTGTTTCTCATTAAATGAAATGTAATCTTTCAACTAAAATACCAGAAACCACTCTATCTGGTAAATTAAAGCAGATTTGGCATTTATATAGTGTTCAAAATAAGTTTACAAAGTGTATACATCACCTCAATAATCCTAACTAAAGATACATATTTTTAAAATTTCTTCCCATGGTATTTCCAACTGAAATTCTGGAACACAAAATGAAACTCAAGAACTAACATTTAATACTCTGATCTCATAAATCAGTGACCAGGCAAAGCAATAAAACAGAAAGGGTGCCAAATTTACTAGTATGCCACTTCCATTTCTGATGCTAGTGCTTTGCTTTAAGCATCTTAGCAAACAACCCAAACTAAAGGTGAAGGTCTCATCCTGTCCAGTCAAATTCCTCTGATTCCCCCTTTTCCCTGAAGCCCATTATATCTACAGAAATCTGCGCTGGAACAATGTGGTGGTAGGAGATGAGAACAGGGAAAAATGGCAGTTGGAGAAATTTCTCCTTGTTCCAGTGGGAAACCTGCACTAGATGCCAGTCTCTTCCACAAACAGAAAGAGCCGTCCCATTCATGAAAACGCTAGTATGGATCCAACCCAACACCTTGAACAGGATATCAATCTTCTAAAGAAATATATAGAAGGAATAACAGCCCTAACATGCACAGCAAAGTGCATCTGAAAACCATAAAACTTTGCAAGATTACGTAAAAGTTCATCTTAACATGTTCACATAGTCGAAGTGAAAAAATTAAACCATTCTCATCAATGGTTGTACTTTGCAGAGCTTACATTATTTATTAGATGCATTTATTGATTTATTTCCTGCCCTTTAATGAGTTTCCCAAGGCAGCTTACAAGAAATTAAATTTACAACAGAGACAAAATATTTAAAAAGATACACACAGACAGAATTTAATTCTGTTGATAATAGCAATCAACAGAATTAAAATCAAACACCATAAGGAGTATAAAAACAATGTACAAATAATTAAAAAGTCCAGGAAAATAAAAAGATATTTACCTGACACCAAAATAATGGCCAGGTGAACCTCCCTGGGAAGAGTATTATATAGTCAGGATACCACCATCACACAGGCCCATTCCCAACAACCCACCACATCTCAGAAGCACCAAAACAAAGGCTTCTGTGAATGATCTTAGTGTATAGGCAGGTACATGTGGAGTTAAGTGCCCTTTAGTTATCATTTTTCTAAACCATGAACAGCTTTAAAAGTCAGACCCAATGCTTTGAGCCCTTGAAACAAACAAGGAGCAGAGCATTTTTGAAATCTGCAGAGCATTTTTGAAAAATTTCTTGTAAGAATTTTTCTGCTTGTTTCCAAAAGTATTCACTGAATAAATTACAAGATACACTAGTGTCAAAGCACAGAGGGGACACAAAATTGATGCCAAACAAAAGAGTCCTAATCCAGGCTTGAATGCCATACAGCGTTTGTGGTGTGGGTCTGCCAAATATCAAGGCCAGTAACAGAGAGTACCTAGCACCAAGGCTGGTATGGAGGCCTTATATCCAACCTGAGGCAGACATCAGAGTCAGAATGAAGAGCACAAAGTTCAGCATGATATTTGAGGTTGGTGCAAGTATTTTCCAAATGATGAAAATACTCTGATTTTGACCTTCAGAGAGGGTTCAATCATAAATTCACAGAGAGAATCTTTAAGACCACAGAACAGAGTATTGTTCATGCTACGAAGTCAAGTAGAGGGCAATAAATATTTTACTTGAAATGGAATAGAATGATTTCTGGTGTGTTCAAGGTTGCCCAGGCTTGATACTTAGCCCAGTGGGATCACAATGCAAGAACAAGGTGAATGTCACCGTGCCAGCAGTCACTTTTCTGACTGGATGCAACATTTTATTGCAACCCAAAGGCATTATTAAAGGCCAAAAGTCACATCTTGAACTTTCCCACATCTGCTGACAAAATGGGACAGTTGTTCATGTGCAACAACATGCACCACTTGTTGTACATGTCATAATATTTCAAACCTTGAATGCAGGCAGCAAAATCAATTGCTGTTGCCAAAACATGCACAGCTAACTTGTTTTCAATTATACTGTGTGTTTAACTCATTTGCTGACCATAATTAGTTTCAATTCCCATTTTACTAAAGTGCTACTAAATATGCAGTCTATAGAGAATGTTACACACACAACACCTAAACAGATGAGAAACTGTGTAAGTTTAAATGATGGATTCAGTGCTTGAATTCTACAATTACAGCAGGTATAGAATTTAGCACTAGGTTAGTCATCAGCACTCTATATTTTTTTAATTGTTTATGGCTGCAAATATATTCAAGGGATGTTGGCAATGAAGTCTTCAAAAGCTGAAGTGGATAAGAAGTACAAAAGATTTCCAGTGATCAATGCTCCATACCCTAAATGATTCCTTGTCCTTACTCATGCATAAAAGTATGCAAATATGGGTAGATGTTTTTATTTTACATAATGCATCCTTATCTATGTTTACTGAAAGCTAATGTATGCTCTTTATCATTTATCAGACTAACATCTTTTTTTAAATAAAATGACAGATTAATTCCATTTTTTCACCTGTCTTCTTCTAGCACTCAATAAAACTTCTCTCTCCCATTTCAGAGATGTTAGGGTAGTAAGAAAATATCAAGGCATACTGTTCTGCTTGTATAAAATAGCAAACAGACAAATATGCTTACATTGGCAATCTGTTCAAGTGGCAAGATACATGTGTTATCAGATATTTCCCAGGCTCATTACACAGCCAGCCATTACAAAGAGAAAAATGACACAAAAACCATAGAAGAGGTGACTGAAAATGAGGTGCATTTGTCAGAAGGAGACTCTTAAAGATACTTTTGGTGCTTACTGCACCCGAGGAATTCTATTAATAGTATTCTGTGGTGCTAGTCTTAGACCCTGGCACCTTGTGCTCTCTGTAAAGGTTACCAAGAGAAAAGGTTTGAAAGTCAAAAGTATCACAGCAACTCCTACACAGGTCCCATTAAGGCTGTATACAAGGCATAATATCAAGCTCACCAACACTGCAGAACCCTTATAAATGAGCCAAGAATTATCATAACTTCAGAAGACTTCAATACTTTAGAAGCACATAAGAACCTCAAGGTGAAACCATTCCCAAATATTCAACTTTTTTAGCAGCTTCTTATTTTACAATAGTAACTTCTATTTTACAATAGTAACTTCTAGTGTTGTAGAATGCCAAAGAGTCAGATAAACAGAAGATAGGGAAACCCCTCTATAAATAGCTGTGACAGTCTTTTTTTACTGAAGCATATTCTATTGGAAGCGATGGCTCCTCCTGTAGGTCCAGACAGACCAACATAGCTTAGAATCAAACAAAAACCTAGTATAATTCACCATATCAGGTATATGCATGAAACTTTAGACCACACTTATCCAATTAGTCTGGCTTTGACCTGATCCACAATTAAACAAACAAGCAAACGAACAAAAACAATCCAGATGGTCTTCTCCATATTTTCCATCCTTTGGGAGGGATAAAAGAAGAGAAAGGATAGGTTTGAATTAGACCGGCTGAATTCACTATGATGCCTTTCATGTTCTCACTGGGAATCCAAGGTAAGAGAACACACAAATGTGTTAGTAACATATGAGCAAAAAAATGGGGTTTGTGTTACAGTGGGGGTAAAAATACACAATCTGAGTGGAAACTGCTATCCAGATAACCTCTACTAAAGGAACAGATAGCAAGAGCACAGTGCTGACAACATGCAAGACATTGTTAGAGTTACACTGGAGAGAAAGGTGATTCTCCAAACATAGCCACAGGAAGGTTACATAGGATCACTGAGCCAAGGTCTTTTAAGATTCAACTCAAGGAGAGTTGGGAAGAAACAAGCCAATTTTAAGTTCCCCTGTTGATGCCTAGTAACTGGTGCATTGCCCCCACTTCGTATGGGTCAGGCAAGGCACTACCCATTTGCAATCCTACAGGGCACAGCAACTGACAGGAGTGTGCCTGCATGGAGCTGTCAGCTCACCTAGGTTATTTCTCGGGGACAGGCAAGAAAAGAGAAAGCCGCACACCCCTTCAAATTACTGCGTTGTGGGCAGACAAGAGAGATCCTGCAGAATATGAATCATGCTGTGGATCCTTGGTGCAACTGTGCACACCGCTGACTATGGAGAGTCAGCATCGATTTCCCACAGAGAACGTTTCTCCATCTGTGCGTGGGTCAGTCACGGGAAGGAAAGCAACAGAAAAAGGAGAGGAGGAAGGAAAGGAGAGAAAAAGACAGGTTGGAGGGGAACTTTGTTCCCATTTACTGAGCAGGCAGTCTTTGCCTGTCTGAGACGTAGCCCTCCAAGCCTTCTTCTCGCCCCCGACTGCTTATTCCCCGATCTATCTATAGGCCACCCTTACCCTAAGCAAGGGGAAATGACTGGACAATGTGATCATCAACCCCTCCGTAAGGATCAGCCCCTAGAAGGTTCGGAGGCGAAAAAAGGGGCGAGAAAGGAGGAAGAAGAGGCAGAAAAAGATCGCATATTTTCAACGCCCCCCCCCCCCGCGCCGCCGCCGGCCCACCCGAAGGAGGGGGAGATTTGGGGCTCCAGGAGGAGGCGTGTGTTCGGGGAGAATGCTTCTTCCCGGGGTACCTGATGCAGCGCCGTCAGCCCATCCACGTTAGCCGTGTTGAGCCGGGCTCCGCGGGCCAGCAAGCGCTTCACCTCGTCGGTGTCCCCGCTGGAGCAGGCGGCCAGGAAGACGGCGCCGTCTTCGAAGCGAACGCGGGGCCCGCCGCGGTGCCGGCTCCGGGCAGGAGTCACCGGCTCCAGCTCGGTCAAGGAGCCCTTCCAGCGCTTCAGCTGCTCCGCGCGCCGCAGCTTTGCCGACTCGGCACGCTTCACCCCCAAGTGCCCCGGCTCCGACATGGTGGCGGTGGCGGCACTGGACGACCACGACAGCCCCCGCTCGTCACCCCAGTACCAGGAGCCCCACCGACCGCCTCAGCCCGGAGGAGAGCGGAGCGGCAGCGACGCCATCTTTGCAGCTCCGCGCCTCCTCCCTCCCTAGGTTACTGCGGCGCGGGCGCAGACAGGCAGTTCAAAGGATCATGGGAATTGTAGTGAAATGGTTGTGCCGCGCTCCCACCTGCAGCTTGCGTTCTCCGGCTAAGAGCAGGGAAGGGAAGAAAAGGAAAGGCACGTTATAAGGAAGCGGGGAAGGAGGCTAAGTTACAGCCGTGGACTCTCGGTGCCTTGAAACATCACCACCATCAGCATCATTAAAGTGAGCACATCTAGACAATAATTTCCTCAGCATTGTGTAAACACAACCTATTCATCCGTCCACACTTATGTACGTATGGAGAAGTGATGGCTACCCCCAAGTGCCCCGGCTCCGGGGCCCCAGTTAGACTGGGACCCGAGTACGCTTAGAAAGTATGCTTCTTCCGTTGGTTCAGGGCACAGCATCGGCTAAATCACCTTTTGTTCACGCCAATTCTCCGTCAATAAATGTGAGTAGCAACTGATCAGTGTGCTGCTCATGGATACCACTACATAAATTAAAAGTGAGAAGCACTGACATATCGACAAGTGGAAGAGAGAGAGAGAGCCCTCTTGAGATTTAAGAGATTGCGATATGGTTTTCAAGGTACTACGATGTCCAGCGCTATTTAAAAGGCTGCTTCCAAGCTCATCTCGCCTCATTAGCTCCATCTTGTGGGTGATAATAGTTCTTAGTGTTCTAGGGATTTATTTGAAATTTTAATAATGTTTCAAATAAGTATCACACACTACAGTTTTGGGGTGGTATAGATATACATAAATAAATAAAGCACCTGTTACCATTCATAAGAGAGAGATATTCTGGAATCACTGTAATTAATATCTTGGCCCTCTGACAGCCATTAGAAAGGCAAACAAATGTTACAATGAAATATCTCATTGTACTGTACTGCTTGGCAGAGAAGTCTCTGGCCTGTCATGCACTGCCTAAGCTGATTTTAATGTTGTGGAATGTTTTAAAACATATTTGATGAAAAATGAGAGAGTAGTCAATTAGACTGGGATGAAACCACAGGCTCTTAGGACAAAAAAAAAAAAAAAAAACCTTTGTGGATAGGCTGAAGTATGGAAAGCTAAGGAAAACAGAACTGCAGTATTGTGAAAGGACCCTGGGAGTATTGCAGAGGAAAGTGCAGGCCTGCAGCCACCATTTCTGTTTCTCCAGAATGCTTCTGAGCCCATAGAGGAAATTCTTTAAGAAATCAATATGGCAGGAGGCTGGAAGCCCACACTTCTTCCTGAACTGTGTCCAGCCATACAGAGTTAAGAGAAAGAGGGAAAGGAATGAGGAAACCTGGTTAGGGGGCACAGAGGAAATTTAGAAGCAAAGTTAAACTATAAGGCTTTCTATCTAAGTTTTAATGTGATTTCACAAACCAACCTTTGAACAGTGACTTCAAGGGAGAGGTATCTAGCCGAGGGACCAATCTCCAAGCTCACTAAAAATGCTGTCTAAGGGAAGGAATTCACATGTCTCATATTTCCAGGTTGTGAATATAGATGAATACAATGTTAATAAAATTAGCTATTTAGATCTTTCTAGTAAGAAATAAGCATTTTTCTGCATCACTATACCAACTGTAGCTTTAATTTGTATCACAAGGTAAGAGTCCACTCAATGATCTCAAGAGGAAAAGACCTGAGCACCAAGGTGAGGCTTGACATCTGAGCAACTATTAGGCCACCAACTGGATATAAGGACATACTTCACCACTGCAGATTGTTGGAACAGCATTTGGTGCTGTCCCTGGTGCTGCTGATCCTACTTCTCAGCTCTGGTATTGCTGCCTTACACTTGTATTTTATTGTATTGTTTCACATTTGTATTTGTATACTTTTGTGAGCTGCTTTGGGAGCATTAAAGCACAGCAACAGCAAGAGTTAACTGGAACATGACAGGGGTCATTGGTTGAAAATTCTTATTCAAGAGATGTATAAGCTCCCTTTTGGGACAAACCTTCCCATGGCAACATGCAACAAAAATTATAAAAAATTAAAAAGAATGGTAGAAAAACAGAAATAAACAAAACAGGGACAGAGTGATCCTATGGCCCAGAGACAGAATCTAGATTCCCAGATTCAAAACTGAAGAAAAGCTACAACCTTGGAGCTGGTGTCTGTTCTTGGATCTCCTTCCTACTTTACAGCCAGCACAGACAGGACTGCCTTGGCTTGTCTTCTGGTTTGTAAGGCTGACCACAGAGAAGGGATGAAGAGGCCATTCTGGGGGGCAGGAAAGAATTTGCTTCTGCCAGGTTGGCAGATATCCTGGTGGTATACCAGCCTCCTTCCCTCTCTGTCCAAAGCAGCTTAGCTAGATGGCTGAAATGACTTGCTGTTCCTCCTGCCTTGCACAGATTTCCATGATACTCTCAGTTTCAAGGTTATGAGCAGGCCCCTTAAAAACATGTCAAAGCAATGATAAAATAAAAAGAAATAGTTCCAACCAGACAGTACCATATATTACTTATTGTTTTATTAATGTACTGTTTAATGTGAGCCGCCCCGAGGCTTCAGCGAATGGGGCGGCATAGAAGACTCCTAAATAAATAAATAAATAAAATATCTTATTGTATTTTATTGTAAACTGCCCAAGGAGCACTCTGGGCTGGGGAGGGGTGTTAAATAAATGTAATAAATAAATAAATGCTACAGCTTCAATTCTCAATTATAAGCTAAAATAAGCAGGGCCACAGGGACAGAGTTCCCTAATCAGACAAAATATTCTGGCATGCAGGTGCACGTATAGAGATTCCAGTGCACTGTTCTTACTTTGACAGATTATTATGAGTGCAGATGGTTCTTCAAGGAACCACATCATTAACACTGAAATCTTTGAAGGCCAATACAAGCACTTTGAGTTTGGAAATGCACTGGAACATGGCATGATATAGTTCTCACCTGATGCTGTGATAACTGTGGCATCTAAGCCACTTGCTTTCAAATAAGCAGCTTTCCAGGTTGCAAATGGTATATTGTGATGGTAAATTGCAATGGGTACCATCTCAGTAGCTGAACAGCCCCTATATGCAATACTGCAATACTCAATACAATATTCAGTACAATATATGCAATACAATATATGCCATGCTCAAGATCTCCTCCATAGATGTTTTTCATCCTAATTTTAAAGGAATTTACCTTTAAACATTTAGAAGTATAACATATTTTTTACTGTTTGATTCCCCAGACCTTTCTTTGTCTGTCTTAAAATACAGCTATTTACCACTTAGGGGCACCATCCTATGCCTGTTTTGACAAAAAATTCCTAAACCCGTCAGCTGACTTATTTTCTGGATAAACATGCATTGGATTGAGGCCTAGATATTCTTTAAGAACTGAATGTAATAGTGCAATTTAAACACCAGAGGGCAACTACACCCTTGAGACTTGTCCAAAATTAGAAGCAAAAAACAACAGCTGTATCACTGTGTATTTTTCCTTCTCTCAAACTAGGAGAGGAAAATGTTACATATTACTAAATAACACTTGAGATTTGTAACATATGTTTATTTATTCTTATTTTTATCACTCTTTTCTTTTACTCAAGTCTGCTAACAAAAATAAAAGGCAAAAGGAAATATAATGAATTGTAAAGCTCATAAGGATCCATAAACAAAAAATTAAGTCACTTCTTGCTCCACTTAAAAAACTGTGTCTTGTAAAACATCAAAAATGTAAGAGATCAATAAATGCCATAGTTCACACGGGGAAAAATAATGCACCTTTTACAGTGCAGCCCTGTACAGGCTTATTCAGAAGAATTTCCCAGAGGTTTATTTCCAAGTAAGTCTGCATAGGATTACAGGCTCACAGACTCAACTTTTGGCCATCCTCCTAGACAATCATGCTCCATACCATAAGTATACACATTAATAGAGAATGCCAAGTTGCATAGGATCAAACCTGGGTTTTCCTTTTGATTGTCTAAAAAATGAAGACTCACCTTGTGTTTAATTTATGTATTTTTTATTTATTTAAAACTTTTATATACCATCCACTACCAAGGTCTTGGGATGATCTTACAATAAAACAGTGGAGCACAGCAACCAAATTGGTTTTCTATACAATAAAATTTTCCTTTCCTTGCTTTCTGCCTTTTCTGGTCTATGACCCTATAGATAGTTGTCTCCTACGCACTGCAGAACTTCTGAGATTCTTATGAGCAGTGTCTGTCAGAAGGTGTAAAAACTATCATCAGTGGCTTCTAATCACATGGGAGCTAGAAATTTCATTGCCGTTTCTTAAGCTCACCATGCTTTACATAATAAATGTATGTGAAGTAAGCATAAGAGTGACTTTTGACTTTACATGGAAGCACCAACATGGAATGTACAAATGACTCACAACGCCCTGCAGGCACTTCTTAGGCAATGTTTAGTGAGAGAATACATACATCACTCTGGAATTCATGCATCTCTTTCCTGGAGAGGTAGACAAGGTCTCGCACTGAATGTTGCAAAGAAAACTCAACTAAAGAATGCATAAATGCTTCAATAGTCAACTGCCAGCCCTTTTTCAAAAGCCCTGCTGTAAGTTCTCAAGAATACTTCACCTCAAGGGGATTATGATAAAGCTGGATGAGATTCAGAAAAGAGCACAGAAATGGATTATAAAATTAAGACAGAGGACAAGAGGGAGCTCAGTTGGTGCATCTGACAAATTAATAATACCAGTTTAAAGAATGGTTCATATTAGCAGCTTGTGTTTGTGTGTGTGTGTGTTCAGATATGTTTGTGGCAGTTATTTTTGGTTGTTATGTGCCATCAGGTCATCTCTGACTTATGGTCACCCTATGAATAAAAACTCTCCAAAATGTCCTGTCCCTGATCGCCCTGCTCAGTTCCTCTAAATTCAACTCTGGCTTCCCTTATGCAGTCAATCCATCTCATGTTTGGTCTTCCATTTCATCTTCTGCCTTCAACCTTCCCTACCATGATTGCCTTCTCTCAGGAGTTTTGTTTTCTCATGATGTGCCCAAGGTATGAAAACCTCATTTTGGCATCTAGGTAAAACTTTGGCTTGATCCATGATCTAGGACCAATTTGTTTTTCTGTCAGTCCAGAGTATTTGCAAAACTCTCTTCCAGCACTATGTTTTGAATGCATCCATTTTCTCCCTGTCAGCTTTCTTTACTGTCCAGCTTTCACGCCCATACATAGTGCTTGGGAGTGTAATAGTGTGGATGATTTTGGTCTTGGTCTCCAATGAATGTCCTTACAATTGATTATATTTCCGAAGTCCTTCATTGCTGCCCTTCCAAGTCTCAATCTTCTTCCAATTTCTTGGCTGCTATCTCCATTTCAATTAATAATTGAGCCAAGGTATATTAAATCTTTACAATTTCAAGGTAAAGTTCCATAATTCTTCTGTACACATGATTTTTGTTTTCTTAATATTCAGCTTGCAGTCCTGCTTTTGCAATTTGCTTTTTTAACTTCCATCAGGAGTCATTTCAATTCATTGCTGCTTTCTGCTTCATTATGGTATAATCTGCACATCTTAAATTATTGATGCATTTTCCACCAATTTTCATTCCTTCCTCTGATCATAATCCAGATTTCCTTATTATATGTTCTACACACAGACTGAACAGATAGGGAGATAAAATACACCTTTGTCTGATGCCCGTGCCTAAGGAAAACCATCCAGTTTCTCCATAATATGCCCTAACAATAGCTCCTTGTCCACAATACAAGTCATGCACCAAGATCTTCAAGTGTCGGCACCCACAAAACAATATTAATGTGGTGAAAGACTTTTTTGCGTAGCAATGCAGTAAATGATAGCTATAGGCATATAATGTCACTTCCTGATGAATTTATGACTGCTCAAAGAACATTTTCAAGGGGGAAGAAGATGGCCATCCTACTCTGCCAACAGTTTCTAAGACCAGCTAAGAATAATACTAAATGACTTCTGGAATATACTGAATTCCCAAATGGTGACTGGAAAGTATCAAACTACTGGTGACTTTCTCTTATGAATTTCTAGAGGAGTGTAGCATATTCAGTGTAGCATAAGACACAATTCCATGAGTGTCTGGACAGAAAAAAGGAAGTCCAGCACCAGTTGTAGGACTTTCCCCTGTCTAAACATCCATAGGATCCCGCCCTTAGTGGTCGCATGGCTGCCTCCCCTCGTTAGAAGACCATGTGTATTGTTCCACTTAGTGCAAAATGAGCTAAGACAGCCCTGCAGCCTTGAGAGGGAGCAGGGGGATCTGCAGCGCGGGGGCTTGCACCTCCGCCCGCAAAGTCCTGCCCTGATCACCCAGCTGAGCGCTAAGATCTATAATAGAAGAACCACGGAGACTTTTGGGGACACCGGAGCAGCTCGCGGATGCCCCGGAGAACCCGAGTTGCTGCTGGCTTGCTTTCCCCATCCTCTCCATGTGCACCAGACCCCACCGCGGCCCCTTGCTCTTGCCAGCCTTCCGCCCTGCGCGCCCGGCTCCGTTGTTTGCTTCCTCTGGAAAATTACATCAGCCCTTTTGTGGTGCTGAGCGCAAAAAGGAGGCACGGAGAAGCGCTGCGCCCAGCCCTCCTCTTGCAACCAGTCGCTGTGGGCTGGCGGGGTGTCGCTCGGGGACACGCCTTCTCCCGCGGAGAACAAAATCTCGCCCGTGTCTCGAGGCGTGAGCTCTGGTGGAGCGAGCGAGCGAGCGGTCGCGGCAGCAGCCAGGAGAGCCAGACGCGAAGGGCGGCGGCAGGCGCTGGGTAAGTGCGGCGCTCTCCCCGCCGCGCCCCTGCTGCCACCGGCTTCTTCCAGGGCCGGCGGGGCCCCCTGGGAACGGAGGGCGGCAGGCGGCCTCTTGAGGCGCGCCGCCGCAGCGCGATCTGGGGAAGTTCCTGTCGTGACTTGGTCGGCCTCTATAGGTCGCCGCAGGATCCCTGCAGGCTTTAGAGGTTGCCATACTGGGCAGCCTCTAAAGCATGCCAAGCTGTTGTTAAGGGGGACCTAATTTGCCGATTAAGTTTTCCAAAATGTTCGGCGAAGTCTGCCGGTTTCGCGGCAGGAGCACGCCCAGCGGCGGCCACGCACGACCTCGCTCGCTGCGCGTATTCCTCCCGGAGGCGCGGGCGAGCCTGATCCTGCGCGCGGGAACTTGGCGGAGAGGAGCCCCGGCGGGCCGTGGGGCTGGCTCCCAAAGTGTGCCCGGCTGGATTGTGGAGTTCTTGCATCCTTTGCGAATGTGCGGTGTGGCAGAGCTATTCAGGGTCAGCGGGAATCAGGACACTGGTCCCCGCTCCATATCAATACGAAGCAGAAGCAAGATGGCCTCAGGGAGACAGCTTCTGTAGTGGATTCTCTTGTAACCTTGATGTAGCCAATGGGCATACATCTTAGAGCATAGGCAGGGGTCATGTGATTCTTCAGATGCAGTTGGATTCCAACTCCCATCAGCCTAAGTGAGAAGAAACTGCAGTCCAGCAGCATCTGGAGGGCTGCTGATTTCCTGCCGCTTTAAAGGTTTGGGTGCTGCCCCTTGCTTGGACTAGGGAGGCATAGAACACTGTGTTTGTGCCCTCTTTTAGGTGCTTCCTGAGACTGCTGGATAAGGCAACAGTCTGCAGATATGTGGATGTGTTTCATTCCTGGCTGAGCACTTTCTCCCTGCTTAGAAATTGTAGTACATACTAGAATCACAGTGTTGGGGTTGGGTGCTTATGGACCAGATGGCCCTTTCTGTGGAACTCCCTGCCTGTGGAGGATGTGTGGGTACCAATGGTAACAGTGCTGCGTATTTACATCTCCTGAAAACATCTGTTACAAGAAATTTAGCCCTGATCAATTAACCATAGGTTTTGCTGCTGTTCTGTTTTCATATAGCGGTTTATTATGTTTAATCTTTTCACACCTTTTCATTGTTCACCATTGCAGAATTTGTTTCAGTGTGGAACTGTAGATGCATATTGTAAATAAATACATAAATAGATACTTATCTGCTGTTCTGAGCAGAAAATCCAGAGCTCCCCTGCACGTAGCTGCCTAGCCTCTGTTTGAGGAGCATCCCTCCCTCACCCATAGTGGGTTCCACAATTAAACTGCTTGCACCAATAAGTGTCACTAATGTTCAACTAAAAGCTGCCCTCCTACAGGATACAGTATTCCAAATGAAGTCTTCCAGTTAGTGCAGCAAGACGGAATATTGACTTTGGCACACTGTGTTGTGTGGTGGCCCCAGCTTGGCTGGGGATGCTCGGAGTTGTATGACTTTCTTCTGTGCGAATGCACATAGGGTTGTGCTCTTACAGACATACAGAAACAGTCTGATGAAATCTTGTCAGTGTTGGGTGTTCATTTCTGGAGTAGTGTAATTGCCTGATTTGCATAGCAAAACAGGCTTTTCTGTTCTTTGATAAGTGCCCTGGGGATATCACCTTTTCAGTTGCAACTCTAAACTGCCAGTTTCATTAAGTGACAATTGCATAAATGAATGTCCATCATCTGCAGACCCTGTTGCAGCTACACTTTCAAACGACCTCACCATGTTGGGTACTTGTTGAGCACTATGCTTCTATATAAAAACTGGGCCCGCCTAACTGAGGATTCCTTAGAAATCTAACTCATTTCTCCAGTGGCAAGGTACATACAGAATATTCATGGAGTGAAGGTCACCTTCCACTAAAGTTCCTGGCAAAACTTCTTTTGACTTTAATGGAGCCGAACGTTATCATATATTTGGGAAAGAAGGATAGATTTGGGAGGGAGGAGTAATGTGTTTTTCTTGCAATATGCACAGTTGTTTTGTTTTTAAAGCTCTAATAGCAGCAAAAGAAAAAAGAAGTATAAAATGTATTTTGCAACTGGCTGCAACATGTTGCAAATTCAGTTTCCAATAAAAACATGATTTTTCCTGCTGTTTTGTTTAAGTTTAAGTGACATTTGCATTTGTTCATTTTCAGTACACATCCTAAGGCAAATGTTCCCATTTTAGCATAGGAACTGAGGCTGAGAGAGAGTAGCTGAGGGCTGGAACTAGTTCCATACACCTAGATCATTTCTTTAACGGCAGCAAATGCATAGACTGCCAAACTTTGTATTGGGAACCTGTGATCTACCCTGAACAAGGAAAAGGCAGCTAAGCATCCAGCAGTTGTAGAAAGGTACTGAACAGACCTCAGAATGGGGCGCGGCACTGCTGAATGGAATTACTATCATCCTGTTTGGTCTAGTTGCCGTATTGCTTTACTTTAGTGCTTAAGAATATCCATTTATGGTAAAGTATGCTATGCTCAATAGTCTGATAATGACATGAGTGTCTGTGTTCCTTCCTTAGTAATTCCTTCCTTAGAACTTTTCTGACCACAACTTACTATAAGTGCTAAGGTTTTGCTTCAGCAACCACACAAAATGTTTAGAAGTTTCTTAAAAGGTTTTTTTCTTTCTTTTTTGCCACTGAATGATTTGGCTGTGGAGAATGTTGCGTGGAACAACTGGGCAGTGTGCATGCTACTCTAAGTGACATTCTAAGTCTGTGAACCAGGTCAAATATCCCTCTTCGGTCATTGAGTCATCCACTTCCTTCTTTTCAGAATCAGTTTCCCAAAAACAGTGTTTGCCTGAATTGCCTTACAGTTGTTGTGAAGTAAAGCACAATACAATTATGAGGCAACAAATTGGACAGAACGGAACAATTGGACAGAACAATCCTGTGGCCCATGAATGTTGTCTGTGGGGCCATAAGATAGTGGGACCATCCAAGATCACGAAGAGCATCTGACTTCGGAAGGGGGAGTAGAAAGTCCTCCCTTAACACCCAGCATGGAAAGATCTTCACTGGCTGGCCTCTGAGGTTGTCAAAATGATCTCAGAGAAGGAGAAAGGGGTGCATGCATTCCAGCGGTCAGGGAGGAGAGGAGTCCCAAGAGGCTACGCTTAGTCTTTGCAAGCCCCCTTCTCTCATGTTCTAAAATGACTGCCTAGTGAGAAAGAGAAGGATCACAACAATCAGAAAAAAGGGAAATGAAGATTTCCTCCATCCCTCCTTCCACCCTGGTGGCTTCAGTCCAGCAGGGCAGTGAAGACACAGAAGCCTCTGAGCTTGCATGCTTCTATCTCATGAGGATGCAGCCCTACAGAAAGGATAGCCTCTCTGGTTTCCTCTCCTCTCTGGCCAGTGGAATGCCGCCTTTTCTCCTTCTGTGTTGGTTAATTTGCCAACCTCAGTGGCCAGCCAGTGAAGTCCTATGGACTGCACCCTAAAGTGCTCCCCAAATCTGACGTACTACTTGTTCAGAATGAATGGGGAGGCTGCACACAGCAGGCACCCTATGTGAGAGGTGTATGACAAGCTCCTAATTCCCTTTCTCAAATAAGGCTTTCACTTTCTCGAAGGAGTTAATTCTGGCTCTTCTAAAGGATACTTTGGATCTTCTTCCTACCTTTCCTTTTTTTATTTATCATGAATGTCATTGTTGTCAGTTTTGTTGCAATTTACTTACAAGGAGGTTTGAACATATTTTTACAGAATTACTGTAACACACTAGAAGGTTCTTTACTCCATGCTGGCATAGATGATCTAGTCTTCATTTTCCCAGCTCTAAATGTAAGCCCTGTTGAATCCCATTAACATTAATGAGACTAAACTGGGGTAAATCAAATTACTTTAATTTCACTGTGGATAGGGATGCTTAACCTCTCATTTTCTGTAGATGCTCTATATCTGACTATCCTCTTCTACTATTAAGCTTCAGTGGTTGTAATTTACTACTTCAAGTATATTTCTTGTATGTGTATGCTGCTAGGTTATCATGAGTCAGTGCTGGTCCGAGGCTAACACCACCAGCTAACCTGGAGTCTTTTCCTTTTGATGTTTAATGTCAGGCCCACATCCAACATCAAATTGTTTGGTGCTCCTGCTGCTGGAATGGATGTTTTTATTGCTATTGAGGCTTTATTATTAATTTGTTTTTGTGTTTTGTTGATAGTTTAAATTGTATAAACTGTCCATGAGGCTATTGTGATTGTCTGTAGAAGCGTAAATAGATAAATTAAATACATAAATAAAGTGTAGCTGTGCTATGGATCTGCTACAAACTATAGCAAAATGAACAAGGCTTTGGATTACTTTCTAGAAAAGGGATGGGTGCATTGAAGGAAAGCCAGTAAGTGGGGCTTAATAGAAATCACAGTCGGATCCTTCTCAGTTTCACTGCCAATATCATTATCCACCTTACTTAGCCAGAATGCAATGTGAGCAACATTCTCTTCCACATCCTGAGTGTTATGCATAAAGCCTAATCTGGTGATGGTGTTATTGCTTAGTGCCACTCATGATCACACCAGAATAGGATCTCTCAGTAGCCAAGTGCAATTTAGATCCTTAATGTTTCAGCAATTGTGTGAACTTATCACAGCTTTCTTTTCTGATCCAGTGAATCATGTCCTGACAAGACTATTTCCCCACCTACCCACACCTCCTCTCTGTGTAACGAATTCCCTCGAACAATTTGAGATACTTAGAAGTATAGTCTTATGAGGAATGTTCATATGACTATTCCAGTCAGACTACTGCATAGTCAAGTTTTAGAGCCCAGTTCCTAGAGAAGTTGTAACTTGCCACATCATTGCTTGCTTCTCCCCACCCTCTTATTTATTTATCTATCTTTGCAGTATGGTCACCTGTTGAGGCTTTCAGTAATCCATGTCTGTCTATGCAAAAATACAAATATCGGGGTTCTTCTGTGGAATGTTGGCACTCAAGCGATTCATG